ATTCTTGCCTACTGTGTCACCGCTTTGAAAATGATTAAAGAAAATGGGGTCTCCCCTGGCAAAGGCAGGTACTTCTGACTTGTCAGAGTGAAGCTGGGCATTTTCTCTTCGTTTGGAACTGCCACAAAATAAGCCCTTTCATGTCCTCAATAATACCAAACCAATGCAATCCATCTGTTCTGCTACATTATTCCCAGTTCCCTAACCAAAGGCACTGCTTTTTCATGCATTTTATCATGATTTTATGCCCTTTATTATATTTTACAAAAGGTTCTGATCCCTCCAGGGCCAATGAGAACTGATTAGGACACTGGCCTCCGTCCAGGCTTTGAACACAGGAGGGGAAGGAATAGAACTGTTTCCTTTTCCCCCTGCTCCTTGGCAGAAAAAATTTTTTTTTAAAAGAATCTATACCGTGTGTGTGTGTGTGTGTGTGTGTGTGTGTGTGTTCTGTGGGTGGGTGGGTGTGGGCAGGCTGCACTTTATCCTGTCACAATATGACTTTGTAGATCATGTTCAGAACATTCCTTCTGTAACCGGGTTGCATTAATGGGGTTTCTTTATGAAAGACTGCTTCTTTAGAAAAGAACCGGGGTGTGTTGGGAGACTCAATGATATGGTCATTTTAAACTATTCGGACTTCGAACCAGAATGCAGACTGGAGTTTGGGCTTGAGCCCGCATCTCCAGGTGAGCAGCACAGGGGAGGCACTCCCTGCACATTGGTTCCTTCCCGAACAGGAGGGAAGGAACTGCCTAAGTGCTCGGCACAGAAAATGAAAACAGAATAATGAACACATCCCACATTGAAGGGTCTCTTGATTAAGAACATGAAAGAAGAACTAGCTGTAGGTTTGCTTTCCCAAGTCCCTAATAGCAAGGTAGTGAAGATGTGTATTTGGATCTAAAGTGAGATGTCAAGAAATGCCCAAGTGAACACCATCTCTTCAATGCATTGTGTTTCCAAATGCACTCAGAATTCTCAGAGAAAACGTTTTGGTCCAGTCATAGAAGACTTTAGATAGACATCCTGCAGACTAAATATCTCTGAGAACGGAAATCAGCATCTCCCTAAATTACGATTATCTGAGCACTTTACCCCATCTTATGACTCATTATGCCATTGACCTTTGACTCAAGAGAGCGTCATGAGAGAGAGAAATGAAGGGATAAAGGGTGCACAGGAAATAGAAAATATGGGAAGGGATTAAGTGAAAATATCTATATTTAAACCTAATAAATTACTCACAATAATACCAGAAAATGAAATCTGTTGGAGACCTCAATTTGAGAGGAAAAGTGAAGTTGACAAATCTAAGACATCTGATAAAAGGGAGGCGAAATGAAAGTACTCCAGGGGACTCTGAGTAAGAGAGAAGGAAATCTGTTACCATTTCAGTATTTTCAGCTTAGTCATTCTTCAAGTTCCCATAGCAGTGCCCTGTGAGATACAAATCTCCAAACATGCTTTCTCCAGGTCCTTTTTTCAGGTAGACCTTTTTCATTTGCATTGTCTACCCCCAACCCCCACACCTTTCTGTAGGAACATGCACGTCCTGTGTGTGGGTCTTACTCTATAGCAACCATAGAAGCAGAAGTGATGATTAAGAATAAGTATTCCTTATCTTTAGTGTAATTGTTGTCTAAAAGAAATATATTTTATAATAATAAAAAGGGCCAGTGTAAAGTACTTCCTGGTAGTCAAAAGGAAGGAAAAAAGGGGGGGAGGGGGAGTGAAATCAAAGCAGTAAAATGAACCATGTTACATTTTAATAGTGCCAAGTTACACTAGTGTGTAAACCAGAAGGGAATACTCTTAGAATAAGCACATGTCAAATAGGCTGGCCAATTGTTCTATCCTTACTGTTTGCTAGCTGATATCACTTCAGGGGATGAATGATACTCTGTTCAGCAGGTGTTCTCTTATGATTTCTCAGCACTTGAGTTACTGTCAATAATTGAATCATGTTAGCAGGTTAATTTTTCAGTTGTGTGATTGGGGAAATGAGAAAGAAGTTGAGGCAAGTATGGAGTGTATGGCTGTAAATACACTGAGTAGCCAGATTATTATGATCTCTGAATACATAATAATTTGGCAAGTCAATGTATATCCTATATAATAAAAGGCTAATATGCAAATTGTCCCCCTGACCAGGAGTTTGACCAGCAGCAGGCCAGCCAACCGCCCATGTCCCCTCCTCTGGCCAGGCTGGACCACCTCCATGCACGAATTCATGCATTGGGCCTCTAATACAAACACACAGACACACACTGACACACACTGAGTGGCCAGATTATTATGGGTTCAGAGGTCTTAGTAATCTGGCTACTCAGTGTATATGTTAATGAAAACATAAAGATATATTTATTTCTGGTATTTAATGTTATACCAGAAACAGAAATTCAGTTCAGGGCTGAAAATATATTTATAGAAAAAGAAAAAAAAATCAATGAAACTTTATGATATCAGTCAAAATGTTGGTCTGATTATAGAAATGACATTATTTAAGACAAAGATGATTCACTGTATGAGCGTATAAAATATCAGTGGCTATGAAGTTCTTAGATTTATAGAAATGAGAGCTGGAAGCCCTGTTATTTCACGGTGTTCATTATTCTGCCAGATCGAACTAGTTCCTGCAGGCTGGTTTCCAGTCCTCTGCTCATTCCAATTTTAGATGACTCAGACCATGGATTTGCCACTATTTATCTTGGATTTTCCAGCAGCTGAAATCTCAGTTATAATGTTTCTCTTTAATATTGACTTTGAATGTTTGCTTCCTATTTTTCTCTCATATCTTCTCATTCTATTGCTTGGTTGTTCTCTTCCATAAACATTTTCAAAGTTAATGTTTATCATTAAGTCACAAATTTCAGTAATGTGTTTATTTATTGATCAGAGCAATGGTTGATCAGATGGCCATCACACATTTGCCTTTGACTTCAGCATTACTTACCTGGTTTAATTTCAATTTTAATTATTGCCTATCTTGGAATAATTTCTCTGAAACATATTTTTATTCCTCTAGAAATGTAAATTGGGTGTCCAAAAAGGGGAACGTCAATGCGATGACAAAGAAAACTTCCATAGCATTTATTTGTTTAGCAAATAATGGCACAGTGTCAAGAAATTTACAATTTCTATCACTCCTGTTACCCCGTGGGTTCCCCACCACCCCCAGTCCCTGTTATATGACTTATTTTCAGTGACAAGCACAGCTCTTCTCTCTACACAGTAAAAACCTAGGAAGTGTCAGTAGTCCAGGCTTCCAGCTACTCACACATCCATGGCCGACACATCCCCTTAAATTAGGGAGGTTGAATATGAACGTATCCTGGTCCTGTGGGAGGCGCTGCTGTCACCTGAGGCTTCTGTGTCACCTGGGACATGAAAGGACAGATTCTCTTCGAAGTTCCCTGAATGCCATTCTCTTCTAATCCATTGCCTTATAAGTACCTTATTATGATATATATTTTAAGTGAAATATTAACACTATCTGGGTAATTTTAGTAAACACAGCAATTTTAAAAAGTTGGGCTAATTCACTTCAGATACCAACATGATGTTTATTGGGCTCACAGACATGGCAGCTGAGAATTGTGGCCACAGATAGATTGACTGAGCTTTAACTTAATGTACAGTTTTGTCTGTGTCAAAGGACCATTCTTTCTTAGGTAAAGTGAAAGTTTCACTTAGCAGGTGTGTAGTAATAATGACTGGGTCTAGAGTGTCTCAGAAAATCTCTGATTAAGGAGTGGTTTTCGTTTTTCTTTAATTTCCATTCTGTCACAAACTAATGCTTTTATAAGGTACATTAAAGTGAAATAATACAAAAATGAAAATTGATTGAATGACATACAAGATTCTATTAGATTCAACAGACATAAAGATATTCTGTCAGTTTACTATAAAAGTTTCTAAATGTTTACTTTGAATTCTGTATAGATCTCATCAGATCATAACATTTTCTGAACTGTTACTGATCCCATAGGTCACACATTGGTCTAGATCAGGGTGGGGAATCTGGCCCTCAGGCTTCCTCACTGCTGACTGCTGTCTAGATGAACACTACTATGAGGTGCACATATATGGACTGATCAGCATATTCTATTGTATGCAAATTGACTATGCATACAATACATCCTCAAGTCACACCCACTAGCCAATCAGAGCTAGTATGCAAATTAACCCAACCAAGATAGCTATGACCATGAAGAGAGCAGGAGGCTTGAGTTTCCCCAGAAATGGAGGAAACTAAGCTTTCCGCCTGCCCTGGCCATCCCAGGCCTCCACTCAAGGCTACAGTTTCAATTGTAGAAGATAAATAAATTCCAGATACCAGGGCCTATGCTTGGGTCGCTGGGGGACATGGCCAGCCTGCAAATCACCACAGGCCACTCACTCAGGCTGCCCCATGCCCCAAGGGAACCCCCACCCTGATCCAGGACACCCTTCAGAACAAACCAACTGACCCCCACCAGTGCACCAGGCCTCTATCCTATCTAATAGTATTTAGTTTGTTATAAGCAAATATATTGAGATGTATTGGTCTTAAGTCCTTTAAGAAACAATAAAGAATTTGTTTCAACACACTTTTTAGGTGAATGTAAAATAAGATGTTGATTAATTTACTTCTCAGCTAAACATTGGATCCTGTTTGTTTTTACGCTGACACTTTTACAAAGGAGTTAGCTATTAATTTCTTTGTTATAGATTATTTTTATGCCAAAGAAGAACATGCTTTATGTTAGTTGCTCATTATTTTTATGCCAAAGAAGAACATGCTTTATGTTAGTTGCTCATAAGCAGTCTATCAGTCCTGAACATTGCCTACTCTCATTTTTCAAATATTATTATGGTACTTTACTAAGCAAATAAGTGTCACATTCCTTCATGATGAAATTCAGCCCGTTATTAATCATCTTCAATGTGACTTGGGGCCTTATTTTCTTCAAAACATTGTCAGTGGAGTACTGTAGGCTTCTGCTGTTTTCTTTCAGTGGATTCAAGGTCGAAAAGCCAGCCTGGAGGAAATACAGCTTGTTCACTCTGCACATCACTCACTGCTGTATGGCACCAACCCCATGGATGGACAGAAACTGGACCCCAGGACGCTCCTAGGTCTGTACGGGCCTCTCTTCTACTGAGAATAGCACATTCCAGCACTATCATTAGTCAAGACGGGTGTCAGTTCAAAATACTTGGCAAGCAGTGTGACAAAAAACCCAACTCTCCATCAGCATTGCTCTTTGGAATGAGTGTGTCCCGTACAGTAAGCCAATGCAGATGAAGAATCTCGCATTAGAAAAAATGGCAAAGTTTAAATTCATTTTTATTTGAGTAGCTTTTCTATTTGTATTTTAGCATACATGAATAAATGCACAGTTGAGTTGGTTTGCTTATATTTTTAAACCAAAAGAAGAAAGGTTTTCATAATCTTTATGCAAATTTATCTTCACCTTTTCCATTTGTTTTGTGTTATTCAGTTCTTTTTCTCTGTGACCTTAACAGACAGAGGGCATAGTATAACTTATTTTTAAGTGACAACTCCTTAGTGTTATGCCTAGAATATGGCATTTTATAGTTAGATTGCATTTTAAAACCTAATGTAATCTTTTTAATGTTTTCACTGTGGAATTAAACAGTAAAGTAAATAGCAGAAGTAGAAAACTAATAAACATGATTTTTAGTTAACATATGATTTTCAAGCCTCTGCCATCAGATTTTAAAATGAATGTTAAACAGGGTTATATAAATTTTACATGAGCAATAGAAATAATATATTTGGAAAATACAGAACCTTATTTTAGCTGAAACAATTCCATTAATTGGGTTTATTAACAACCTTTTATAGTGGAATAACAATACATAGCCTAGCTATACATACCAAAAGAATCTTTTAAAAACTATTTTAACTTAAAAAAAAAGGTATTGCAGGTATTTTTTTTTTAAATCCCCTTTCAATAAAACCTATTGTGTCAGTTCCAAATTATTGGACTCTCTCACCACATTCAATATTATTTCAGAATAATTTTATATTAACTCCTCCTAAAGAATTCAGAAGCAAATATATGACATGTAGTAGGCAGGCCTTCCTCACTTTATGAAGTAAAGGAAGATGGGTTAATGTGTGTATGGCTACATGCATTCAGGGGAGGTACTGGAAGAAATTGACGGAAAGAGGAACAGATGAAAATTATTCAGGGTTTTAGCAAATATTAAAATTTGATGATGAAAAACAATTTGTATATAATTAAATCTATATGTTAATATAAAGATAAATAAGTCTATCTGAACATACGTACTCTGTATTTTTTTCCTTCTGTTGAAGGAAAGAATCACTGCACATAAAGTACTTCATTTACTGTGGATACTATATAATCTCCTTAATTTTACATGAATTAATAATCTCACACTATTTGCCCAAAGATGAAGTTAACCACACATTAACTTTCATGGTTTTATTTTGATTTGTTAATCCTCATCCAAGTATATTTTTCCATTGATTTTTCTTAAGGGAGAGTTGGAGAGGGAAAAACAGAGATGAGCAATGTGAGAGGAACACATCGATTGGTTGTACAAGCCCCAACCAGGGCCCCGGGATGGGGAGGAGCCTGCAACCGAGGTACATGCCCTTGACCAGAATCAAACCCTTTGGTTCTAAGGCCAATGCTCTATCCACTGACCCAAACCAGCAAGGGCAATATTGATTATTTTTTAATTAAAACAAGTAGCTTCCTCCTCCATATTTATTTATTTATTTACTATGTTCTTAAACTATAAATCAGTATAGATATAGGACTAAATATTTTGTATTTAATTGGGAAGAACTTACATGTAGGTGTTTGAGAGATATTCCAAAACAACAATTTTCTGCATTTTAAGAGAAAAGACATGTTTGTGAAAGAAATTAAGTTTAAATTTGTATGAGCAGGAACTGTTTACTTATGAAACATGGCAGTGCAAATGAAATTTGACACTTGAACAAAACTAATTTTCTCAAAATATTCAACATAAATATTATTTTAAAATTTGATGGTTTAGAAATGAATTCCAATGTATAATTTAGACCTCTGGCAATTCTTTTCATATATGTATGCAATGAAACACTGAGTATCAATAATTTAATTTTTAAAAGTTTAAATCCCAATAAATTGGCCACTTAACTTATTAGGTTTGAGTATTTAATGTGAGATATAAAATTGAAGATTCTAGGATTAGTTTGAGGTATGTATGTGGAGTTCGTTCCATAGGCACCTCTCAGGATTAGTGCAACAATTTTAATATTAGGTAAATATAGACAAGGACATTGCAATTGTTTAGTCTTGATGTCAAGCATGAAATTCAACTTTGATACCACTTCTGATCTACTTCAGTATCTCATGTGAGTCTAGACACAGCACATTTTCCTCCATTCAAGTTCAAAGTGAACAATTCCATTGTTTTTAATACCTTTTTGTTCTTTATAAAATTTGAATTCTCATGGCTTATTTTTTATTTATATCTAAAAAACCAGACTGCCATGTAGAAGTATGGAGATGTAGAACCACCAAGATATTTCTCTTTCTTTATCCCTCTCTTTCACTCCCGTATATTCCTCTTTTCCCCCATCTCCTCCCAACATGGGGTGGGGATGGTGGTGTGGGGGGAATTTGTTAATGTGCACACACATTGAATTTAAACCCATTCCATTTATGAAATTTCTGAATTGAATTGATAATACTACTCTTCCTAGTTATGTTCTGGGGTTAGGAGGATTTAAACAAGAGGAGTTCATTATGACCAGACCTATCAGTCTTTGTATCTTGAAAGGTATCTATAGCTTATAAAATAATTAGATTGGAAAATGTGCACCATTTATCTCTTTAAATACTCTAGACCCTGTAAGGTGACACTTTAAAAACATTCTCTCCAATCATTAGTGGTACAAGGTTTTCCTTAGCATTAATATTCCTGTCGTTATTACTACAGTTTTCATAATCATGTGGCTAGTCAGATCTCAGTTCATAGGGATGGCAACATAACATTATCTTTTTAAAATTCCTGTTAATTCAGTAAATTAAAATTTTCACACATCACTGAATTTAAATTATTATTTGTCTTTTTTTTTGTATTATATAAACATTACTAAATACAATTCTCCTTAAGTAGCTTAACATTTACCAGTATTTTCATTTATTCTCTTGGAGTTTACATAAATTTTGAAAATTATTTTATTGCATTGTAATATTAACTTTATTTCTTTTAACTATGGAATGAAGAGTTCAGAGATTAAATATACAATATTATGTATTTTAAATTCACATATGACATGTGAATGCTTCCTTGCAAAATATTCAACAATATAGAAATATCTTTGTTATGAGCAACACTTAAGTAAACCTTTTCCCTCCCCCTAGTTTCCATAAATTTTTTGTGTATCTTTTACTGATGTCAGCATTTCAGATTTAATATGTTTTTATGACTTGTTTTCTATTGTTTACTTTTTTCATGAATATCCTTATATATAATGAGGTGTGTCATTTTTTTTCCATTTGTACTTAAATTTTTGTTTATCATTTTCCATCTGTTAGCTATTGAGTTTGAAAAATCAATTCATGAATTTCTTATTTTCAAAAATCAAATATTTTTTGTGACATTAAAATCTATTTAGGCTTTTATTGACATGGCATGTGAATTCCACCACAAGCCTATTTTCATTTTTTATTATTATTTCATTGATAGAAAAAAATGAATTTGGAAATGGAAGTTTGCACTAATTTCAACCACTAATCTGAGTGACTCATCTGAGCCACTTCAGAGCCATTTGATTATGATATAGAAATGCCTGCTCCTTTCCCTCTAAGTATTTTGCAGGGCAGATTTTAATCTTAAGAAATTTAAGAGTAGTTATTTTATTTTCTCTACTTGTGTAGTAGATAATGTAGAAAATAAAAATTCAGATAGCCAAAGGATTAAAATTCCTTCAAGTATTAATATTAAGAGACGGTCACAAGTTAGATTTTGGCATATATTTTTAAGAAGATATGTTATTGTATTATAGATAATGAATATTATCTTCATTGTAGTGTTATGTAACTTGTTTGTTTGAAAAATTATAAATATTGGAAATGCTAAATATTCTTAGTCACAGCTATATCTTAAATATAAATTCAAAATAAATCTATCTTTGAATAGATGTTTTAATATTTGAAACATTAAAAAATAGATATCTTTCATAAATATTGGCTTGTAAAACCACATTAGAGAGATATACTCAGTGAATAGCTGAGTTATTCAGAGTAAGGTATAAATTTAAAAATGTTTTGATACATTGTACAATGTGTGGAACAGTTAAAACAAATCTTAAGCCTTAAATTTCATAGGTATTTGTCTGTCCATGTGGGGCAATAGACTCTACATGTAATATTTTTATTTACTTGCTATGAGTTTTACCTATCTAAAATTTGTTCAGTTTCCTCCTGAGTTAAATGATAAATACCATGTGACATATTATGTATTAATAAATACATCAATATTATAAATCAGTTGTTAGAAATATTAAAAATTAATATTTAAAAACTATAATTATATTCCCAATTTATATGTTTTTTTCATATCTTCTTGCTATATAGGTGATGCCTCTCAAAAGTTTTTTTCTTCATTACCTTGTGGTGGACTTGGGGTAAGTATGAGTTTGGTAAGTGCTCTTCAATAACAAACTTCCAAAACTACCTCCTTTGATTTATCTATTCAATTATGTTTAAGACTGTTTTTCAGTAGAAGTTATACTAGACTGCATGACTAACTCCATAATTTGTAGGGCTCAGTGCCAAATGAAAATACAGATCCCGCTGTTCCATAACTAAGAATTCAAGATGGTAACAGTAGAGAATTAACCAGTGTAGGCCCATCACTGTAGAGCCTTGTGTGACTGCACAGGTCACTCTGGCTTTCCTAGCTTTTCTCTGCCTGGGGAAAAGGTAGTATGAGAGGGTGTAACACAGTTTTGTAGCAGACTTCAGTTTGGAATGCAGTCACACTGAATATGAAGATACATTATTCATATTCCTGATGAAAATGGCATAAACTTCAAAAAGTGCTTTGAATTATGGGAAATTATGCTTGTGAACCTCCTGGGGCCATTTTTGTCTTCAATAATTAACAATGTTTTTGACCCAGGATATTTATACTGCATTGCAGGAACAAATTTGTTTGAATCTAGCGACATATGAAGAAAAATGTCTACATTTTGTGGATGATTAGAGCATACGCAATAGTCTGCAATCTATTTAAAGTTAACCCTTACCATTAATAGACCTTCATCCTGTAGAGCTGAGTGCTAAGTCATGTTGGGACAACATATACTAGACCAGGTTTAAGGACTAAAGGTATTTAATTCAATTAGGTTTCTTGGATGTGGAAGGGAAAGAACAAAACTAGTCTTGTATGCCATGTATTAGGCAACATTTTGCCATAACTGAATTTTATACAGGGAATCCCCATATATTTTCATAAAATTATTTCTTTTTCGTGATGTTAGATTTATCAAGGATAATCTTTCCATTCCTTTTCCTGTGATTCTGCCCTCTAGAAATAAGAATGGAAACTACAACTAACAACCGATAGGACTTCACAGTATCTTATATACAACAGAGGTTCATAAAAACTTGGTAAAATAGTTATGACTGTTAGCACAGTTTTGCAAATGAGAACTTGAAGTGTCAGAGAAGTGAGGTTATTTTTCTGAAGCCACACAGGAAAGGGGAGAAAGTTGAAAGTATGAGGTGCATGGGAAAATCCAAGTGGAAGAGTTCCGAAAGAGCACTGTAGGTTTCCATGGCTTTCATCTTTAACAGGCTGGCCACAGCCCCTGGAGCCAGTGAGGTCCCCTTTGTGGTAGCTCACCAGTGAGCTTGGCTTTTTGACCCCCAGCACAGGATAATCACAACCCCATATGTATCCCTGCTAAGTTTTAGCAAGCCTCCTGTGAAGCTAAGAGCTTGCAATATTATTCTAGAAAGCAGAGGACAAACTGATTTTTTAAATAGGTTTCATTGGCTTTGAGATTATTTTCTAGCATCCCAAGTGACCATCTTATGAGAATGGCTGATCACCTGTAAATGAGGCAAAGAAGCAAAGCTAAGGACTACTTAGTGGGTCTGGTGATCGTGAGGAATTCAAAACTGTGGAAAGAGTGGTGGTCCCCAAACCCCGACTCATTTACAAGGACCCAGAGCTTAAATGAGGACAGCTCCCCAGGACCCACCTCTTTAGTTTGAACGGGGCTGTGCCTATAACTCACTCTCCCTTGAACACAAAGTTTCTTCCTCTACTTTGCTGCTCTAAACCCATAGCAAGGTAACTTCTTATCTTTAGCCAGAACTGCTCTAGTAAACTCTTAGATGTGTCCAATGAATGAACAGTGCCTGTCACTTCTGACACAGTGGGTGTCAGAGTAAGATCTTCAAATACTGGCCTAATCCAGATGATACCAGTGCTGGTGGGTAAGTGAGGCTCCAGCAGAGGCAGGGAAGGAAGACTGATTAGTTTGCCTGCATTAATACTGGAAAGGGCTGCAGAGAGTTAGCTCTGTTTATTAAATTGGCCTCTAGGTCTTCTGGTGATGTGTTTGTAGGTCTAGGTGAGTGTGTGTGTGTGTGTGTGTGTGTGTGTGTGTTTGTGTGTGTGCGCGCGTGCACAAGCTTGTCCTGTTGATGTACTAGAGAACTAGTTGGATTCAGTCTTCCTGTTCCCCCCCCCCCCCCCCAGAAAATCAAATTGTACATGAAGATCCTATATTGCCCCCTAATATCTTTGGTTTTGATATAAGTCCTAAGAGAGACTCTGGATTCTCTGGATTTGTACTAGTCTTCATTTTTACCTCCCAGACAGTTCTAGACATACTATATCTATGAAAGACACCCAGTATGAACTTGGTGTGGTCCAACTTGGCACGCTAGGTGCACTCTTGTGAGCTTGGGAACCACTGGAATGGCTTTTGTCTTAGGCCATAGTTCTGCTTCAGATAATCTAAAATGAACCCACAGTTTAAATTCTAAAATACTTAAATGCTCCCAACTGTTCCACAAATTCCAGTTACCTGGACTGCATACCTTTCTACTAGATGGGTTTGTTACATACTTACTGAATGCTGATGACTAGGTGGCTTTTGAGGAGACTACCTCAGACTTTATGAAACCATCCCCTAAATTTCCATGTGATAATTCAGCAGTGTTGTTCAGGCAGCTCAGTGGGGGAGTGTATATTATGTGCTTTACAGTATGCTCTCCCAAGTTACATTTTGAGCAGCAACCTCAAGGTTTCTGAATTCTTTTGTGTTTGGTTTTCATTTTGTTTAGTTACTATGGCATGACTCATTTCTGATGACTGTGTGATTGCACTACAAGAAAATGTGCTGTTGAAAAGAGCAGTGTACCAAGCCCCAGGACTTGGTCGGAGTCTAGTGAAACCGATAATTAAGGGACTCCGGAAACAAAAACCAGTGCAGGACCATTTTAGTTCTCACTCCTCAGGGTATACATATCACCAAAAATAGTGATCATTTTCCTGGCCATCTGACCTGCTTCTGTGTGAAGAAATCTTGAAGTCATTTCTCAGCCTTATTTTTCCCTCTTCACTTGATAGGCCACAAAGGAAAAAAAAAAAAAAAAAAAAAAGTAAGAAAGAAAGAAAAAGAAAAACCCACAAAAGCAAGGACGAGCAGGCTTTTATGATAATGTCGTCATCAGCTCCCAGCTTCAAACGCTTCTGCGGCTTTTGAGTTGTCATTTATAACTTGGAACTGAATCGACCCATAATTCCCCTGATACACTTAGAGAAATTGATAACAGACTCTGCACTTCTTTTATGGCTCGGAGGAGGCAACTCCAATCACATCACTATTGGCAGGCAATATTATTTTTTGACATGGTTGTAAAAGTATAAAGGGGCTTATGGCATTTGTTTAGATGAGGAATGGGCTCTCAAGCTGTGCTGGGGTTTACAGGACCAGATTAGTGAGAAGCGAAGGGAATATGATGTTTGCAAACAGGATATGATTTTATATATAAGTTTGGGTTTCATGCTCTGGTCCCTGGGGAAAGCCCTGCAGACAGCAGAGAATTCCACTTTCATCCTACGACAGACAAGCTCCGCGTGCCAAAAGGCAGACACAGCAACGTGGTCAGTGGGCAGCGTCAGACCCTTGATTGGAGGAGGAGGAGGAGGAGCCGTGGAAGAGGCAGAGTAATTCCCTGGGAGGAATGAGGAATTGCAGAGCCTGGGCAGAATCCCGGCCAGCCTAACTGGTCAAAGATGTGCCAAAAATGAGGCTCCGTGAGCTTAATCAAGGCGCGCTCTCCAGCAGCAGCTCGGTCGGACTGTGAACAGGAAGCCAGCTTTTTTATTGCAAACTTTTCCTCGGCCCGTATTCTATCTGATTGCCCCTCGCTCTGACACACTGTGGTGGTTAGGGATGTCATTTTTTTTGTGATTTGGGGAGGGGGAGGTGGGGAGAAGAATTAGGTGATTGTGGGGAGGTAATTTAAGGCTCATTTCAATTGCTCTGAGGTTTTCAGCAGACGTTTCAGCCCTATACTAACTACACTCACTGCACAGGAGGCAGGTTTGGATGAAATGTCTCAAATTTTCTTTCATTCTGTCAGGTTTAAAATGTAAGCTCTCCCATCAGATACATACAATTTATATAGGTGGAAATATGATATATGTACATATATTTATTCAAAAGAAAACTCTGCTATTTTATTATTTCATTTATACGTTCACATTATTTTTCCATTTAATATACCACTTTGGTTCTCCACATTTATTCTCCCCAAAAACAGTAAAAAAAAAAAAAAAAAAAAAAAAAAAAATCCAGTGACCAGCCTTTCAAAGAACTGCTTTAATTTTCTCAATTGTATTATAATATCAGGGAATAATTTATTTTATTTTATTTTTAATATATTTTTATTGATTTAGAGAGGACAGGATAAGGAGAAAGATAGAAACATCAATGATGAAAGAGAGTCATTGATCGAGCCCACAACCTGGGTTGTGGGAATTGAACCATGACTCCTGGTTCAAAGGTCAACGTTCAACCACTGAGCCACACCAGCTGGGTGGGAAGGATTTATTTTACAAACAAATCTATGATTATATAGATGAATTAAATGTAACAGATAGGTTTAGTTAAAACACATTTCTCCTGCTATTTATAGTGTTGTTTTTCTTTAAGTTAGTATTTTATTTTTAATTTTTTGTTGTTGTTAATCGTCATCCAAGAATATGTTTTCATTGATCCCAAGAGTGAAGGGAAGGGAGAAGGGGAAGGGGGGAGAAGAGAGAGAGAGAGAAACATTGATGTAAGAGAAACACATGGATTGTTTGCCTCTTTCATGTGTCCCTACTGCAATCTGGGATGGATCCTGCAACCCAGGTACGAGTCCTCCACTGGAGATTGAATCTGAGACCCTGTGGTGTACAGGCCTGCACTCTAACCACTTTGTAACATTGGCCAGGTCAACAAAATTAGTATCTTTTTTTCATCTACCCTTCCTAATTGTATTTGGGTTTCCATATACCATCATAAGAGGAGTGAAGGGCAGGAAAAATAAGGTAAGACTTGGTGTCAATGGTTTAACAAAGTGCCGGAATGCAATAAGGTATGAGTTGCTCAGAGCC